GCTTCTCTTTCAGGTTCCACTCGAGCACTGGCCTGACGCGCGATGTCACTCAACGGCCTCCTCAGCGAGTGTCCAATGCATCTCCATTTTCTCCTGCATATTTGTTGGGCGATTGGTTCTTGTTTTGTTTGTTCTCATAGTTTCTTGTTGGTGGTTCTTTCCGATCATCTGATCTTAAGTATAAAGCAAAGACAATTGTTGGTAAAGGTCTGCAGTCTGTTGCAAATATTCTTTGTGACCCGCCAAGTTTCTGATCCATACGTATAGAAGAACTGACTGACTTGACGTTTGTATTGAAAATCCGAATTTTGTTGTTGATGTTGAGTGACGAAAATTTTCAGATTGGTTTCAGGTTGATGAATGTGTTTCTCGCCTTCCCGATTCTCGATTTGACATCTTCGTCCGTCCCTCCTGTAGTTAAGACAATGCTCTCTAGATAAGTGCATGAAGTAACCTCTTTCAAATCCCTCCCGTTGATGGTGATTGGCGCTGGATGTTGCTGCTGTTGTTGTTGGTTTGTTATTTTCATGACCTCCGTCTTGTCTATGTCCACCTGCAGTCCTGTCTTCTCTGACTGCTTCTTCGACCAGTTTGTCGTTTTTCGCTTGTAAGTCTTCGATTTTTTGTGACATCAAACATAAGTCATCCGCGAAATCCAGGTCTTCTAGGTCCTTCACATCGGTCCAGGATATCCCTGTCTTCTCGTTTCCCACTGTCTGACGCATAATCCAGTTCACCACAATTAGGAATATCATTGGTGATAATAAGCACCCTTGTCTGACTCCTGTGTTTACTCCAAACACCTAATAAAATGCTTAATTCTTCAGTTACAAAATGTTGTTATTTTGCAAATCCCTATGTTATGACAGATAATACTTCCTGGCAGACTATTCACAGTTACAACATCAACCATCAAGACAAAAATGTCGCTGTGCGCGAAATAAGATCGTTAGTAGGCGATTTTACTGTCTCATGCTACAGTTCAACTAGTACATAGTAATAATACAATATATAAGATACAGGGGGAGTTTTAAAAGACAGAATCAATCAGCAGACTAAATATTGATCGATCCGATATCACTTAGCAGGCATTATTTGAAAAGATAATACTAACTGATATGCCTAAATATAGATCTTCATATGAACACGGTATTGAGGGCATACAACAGTAAAACCAGAGGTATATAATATACTTCTCACAGTTTGGTTGACTATACCAATTGTTACTCAGTTCATAATTTGCATATTTTCAGATGTTTCATCAACCATGAAACAACTTACAGTCTTGTAATGATTCTTAATGTGTTTTTTTATACAGCCAAGAGGATCTTTATTTTGAGAAATGAAAATTTTCCGTTTTCTGTAGAAATAATAGTGAATTTTCATTTCATACTGTTTACATAGGAAGTGACAAACTTTATCTTGTTCTCCGGTTCAAGTACAGATTAGAAAAATTTCGCTGACGTATAATAAACTGTAAAAGGATCCTCACCTAAGCCTTCATTTTCACCACTCCAAACAATTTGGTCTTATCTGATAATTTTTATAAAAATCTTTTGAAACACGATGCCAGTGGGATCGACAGAAACCACTTTGAGAAATTCTGTCATTTTTCATTGATTTTAACAACAGCCCTAAATGGTATTAATTCAATGTAACATCACAGTTGAATATATACGGCATTATACACTCCAGATTATCCGTTGAAGTAGAAAGGTTTTGAGTACTCTGTAGTTTTAGTACACCAAAATCCCCAGGCTCAACTGTGAAACGTTTATTAACCTGTTAGATAAAATTTAATTCTGACACTATGAATTTTTGTTATTCGATGGCTGGAGGTATTCAGAAGAAAGCCATTAATCAAGGTTTCGTGCTTTGTTGGCACTTATCAGTATGGCGTATCTACAGTCTCGAATTAACTCATATCCTTTCTTAGATTCTAACCAGGGTCACTCAGTGGTTCATTCAGAGAGGTTACAACTGAGCTAGTGGGACTCACAACTCATCTCCTATCAGACTGTATTGGAAATTTTGGTTGGACTCTAGGTAGTAACCAGTATCATTCATTTAACCCTTTGTTTGGTGTAGACTGAATTTTGCATGTGATTGCTGCCTTTTATTCAAAACATTTCTTATTTTATGATTTTATTAATAATAGCTTTATTCCAAAGAGTAATTTTGTTACAAACATGGAATTTCCAGTATGTAATACAATATTGCATCTAATTTTCTCATTACAGGGGCAATAATTAAAATAGGCTGTTTACATTAAAAATATTGTTCAATAAGAAGTGAATATAAAATTAAATCAAGTGAAAACATCAGTGACAATGTAACAATGAGAACAAAATGCCATACTGTTTACTTCGATTTCTTCAGTAAGTTGATAATTCCCTGTCTTACGTTTTTTTCTCGTCACATAATATGCGTGCCTGCAAGATAAGGTATTGTAGAGTTTTTGTAATTAGTCGTCCGAGCATGCAGTCTCCTATACTGACTTCTAGTTCTACCCCATGAGATGTAAGGAGAGAGTTGTGTATGGAAAGGATGTTCAGAGTCTGACAAGATAGTATTTGCCAATTTCTTGCAGGAATCCAAGTGTCTGTCTACAGTAGTATTAACTAGTTAGTTTAGAAACATCCCACTCGCCCTACTGGCGACTTTTAGTGTCCTTGCCAATGTAGTCAGGGAAAGCAGTAAGGAATTATATGTAGAATACAAGAATTAACAAACGGTAACAGTAGAGACTGAATGATACCAGATCGTCTTAACTTCCTTACATAGAACGTCAAACGAAATATCTTTCTGGAAACTAACATGATGTGGGGAGACCAGGAAAGATCATATGAAATACACAGTCCAAGATAGTTAACATTCAAGTTGGTTTCAAATTCATTGCCATCCATGACAGTGGAACCTTGCGAACTAACCATTTCACGTAAGTCATGCTTGCATCTGAATAACTGTAGAGCTGTTGTGATATTCTAAGATGGTTGTTAGTAAAATAATGTTGTACATCCCATTAAGGAACAACTAAGTCAACTTCAGGAACTATTGATACAATAAATTGAATACCGGGGTTCAGTCCCCGGCCGACGCACTCCTTCACCTTGCTAAACCAGTAATAAGACTGATAAAGAGGGAAGGTTGGACAAGAGGCTAGCAACCCTATCCCGTTAAAATCAACACCACTGCTACTGAAACTTCAAGCCTGTAGCTTGAAGTCCTATGTTCCACTTGCAACGTAAAGGAATAAAAGAAAAGAAGAAGTAGGAATAAAATATTGTGACTAGACACAATCCAACAATCGTATAACATGACTCATTCATCTCATGACAACGTATTCATCATATAACCTTAGGAAAAAAACAATTTCTCATGTGCTGATTGCTTATTTTTACTAAATATTAAATGTATGCAATTTTTGCAGACAGAAACAATGGTCACATTTCTATATCTCAGAATAGATATTAGCTTCCCTTTTGCATATATGAACTAAAAGCTTTTATGCAGGCTGTTATGAAATATTTTAAATTTCCAATCCATAATGAATGAAGAAAAAGGCTTTAATGCAGCACACTTTATAATGTTGTTAGCCAAATGTACAAAGTATTAGAGAACATGAAACAGTCATATACACTTGGTAAATGTTATAATTTACCAACACAGACTGAAATCAAATTCGTATCAATTTGTTTCATTATATATCGTATGTGATTACTATCAACAAATTTCTAGACGAAAACAAAATACTCCTCTTTGCTTCTATCCTCTATTTCAAGTAGACTTTTTTTGTGTAAAACTGAGATAATTAAAAATTCATTTAGAAAGAATTATTTATTTCGTCATTTTATTCTTTTACGTTCCCAGTGGAACATAGGGAGTAGCGTTTTACTTTTACTGGGTAAGGTTACTAGCCTCATACCCAGCCTTCTCTTTTTACCGGTCTTATTACCGGCTTAGAGAAGCGTAGGAGTGCATCGGCCAGGTATTTAACCCCTAACCAAATGCCTTTGTGGCAGGCACATTTCCGCTAAGCTGCCGACGCTTAGAAAGAACAGACGCTCCAAATAAAAGTGTGCCATTACAAAAGAAATATACATTTGTATGATTAAGTTTACAGTCAGTAAAATTGATGCGAAAAATCCAAGATTATTTCACAGTCCCTTCCAAACTCAACTGTTTACCTGAATTAATTTAAACTGAAAGACCACATTTCAAGTGACTCTCCGTTTTTCCTTAATCTTAAACCTTACTTAGTTCAACAGGACAAGTAATAGACATTGTATAGAAGTGCATCACGACACATCATACTCAAAATAATTATCTAAACCGCTTTCGTTCAGGTGATGCATAGCAATACCAAATTCATCTACAGATTCTGTAAGTTACTAACGCTATGAAACTTATTCAATGACTAACGAATATAGGAAATTCCATGAGTCAGGTTTGTTTTTGAAGTCCCGTGCACAGAAAAGAGAAGCTGTTCATCTAGAAGAATATGCTCCATTTTAAAGTTCATCAGTTGCAGAGTTGTTTACTTGACAAAATGATGCTAAGTTACGGCTCAGTACAGAAACCAAATATTGAAATCTCCATTTATACATGCTCTTCGTCTTAAGATTCTTTTGTCTTCCTTTCATGCTTTCTAGATTGTTTCACAAGAATCGTTCATTTCTCCTCTTCGCCACTTAATCGATCTCTCCACTCTTCAGTATGCCCTGTACTAGGCATCGCACTCAGTATACTACTTACCAAATTTTATCAGTAGCACACTCCACAGAAGCATTATGGTTCATAAAGTTTCCATGGAAAAGCAGAAGTTGAATCCAAAAAAATCGTTAGGATAATTTCAACTAACGCGTTACTTTTTTATTGTATAAATAGTTGCTTTCATAATGTATGAGAGTGAATTCAGTTATACGTATGCATAAGGAATATACATCATAAAGTCATAAACGATTTCAATTAACCAAATGAAAACTACAGAAAACACTCACCAATCAGCAGCACTATTTTGTCGTACATGCATTACAGTTAATGGTCGAATAAGCGCTGGTGTTTTATTCCATCCACCACGAATCACAAGACCAACACCTTCAGATCCGATTTTTAAATTTATAACCATATGTTTAACAATACATCCAACAGGAGCTGTACAACAATGGAAGTATAAAAGTGAATAAACTCTTCATTAAAACGGTAGGCAAGGAAGTAGACAAGATATGCACTGTAGAAGTTATAAAGAATATGAAACCAACAACTTCTAAGCTTCCACTTATCAACTTATCCTGCAAAAAAGGCACGTCTAACTATACTGAAGCTGAAATCCATCGTTTAATTCAGTCTAACTAATATGAGCATACCATAGCATATGTTTCTAATAATAAACATTAGGAGGTATACTGACCGTATAATACCGCTTCAATGAGAAAAGAAGAGGGGAAGATATAGAGACTGACGAAACATAATCTCTTTGGTACCAACCATTTTCAACTGGAGAAATTCTTTCTTTTTATCTCAGGACACTTTTTCTAGGTATATCACTTCAAAACTCGTACTTGATTAAACTGTAGTGAACAAATTATCACAAATATATTATGTTCTACGAACGTTTCCCTTTAGATTTGCAATAGTAAACAGAGAAAACGTTTAACACCATCCTATGAAATCTGGTTGTGACTGTTTATCTAGTGGTTTGTAAGACATTCCATTTTAATTTGTTTATTAGATATATCACACAGTGAAACAGTATTATTTACTGGATGACGTTTCGAACAAAATTTATTGTTCATAATCATATCATCAATTATAATCACACAACTTCGAAACTTGAGTTTTATAGTTTTCTTTGTCTTCTCCTATTTGTCGTCGCAGGGGTAGTAGAATATTCCAGATATCTGGGACAGGTGTTGAATCATTCATATTACACTTATTCTCCTCAGTTGATTCGATAAACAAAGCTTCTGTTATCAGTCTCTCCCTCCACCCAGCTCTTACATTAGATCTTATAAATTTCATTTTATCCCATCCTATTGTATGGTTGTGTGTAATTGCATGTGGTGAGTGCTATAGCTGAACTATTCTCTAGATTTCTTATCTTATTTGGGTCAACTAATCTAGATTTTGCTGCTAGGTTTTTATGCTCGGCTAGTCTGACTGCCCCTGTTCTACTACTTTGACCTATGTATTTGACCTGACAATCATCACAGGCAGTGTATGAGATAAACTGAATTGTTTTGTTTAATTGGATCCACAGGATCCTTTAACCGAAAAAGCTTGTTTCTAATTGAGTTTGTGGGTTTGAATGCCACTTTTATTCCTGCATTTTAAGGAATTCTCCGTAGGATTTCCGAGGTTCCTTCTTTGTATGGAAGCAATACCGATGATTTATATTCTCTATTGTTGGTTTTTAGGAAACCCTAAGTTCCAACTAAACATTTGCACTGAATGAATTTATGGGAATATGAGTAGCATTTCGTCAAGTAATAAAACAATATTAAAGTTTTACTAGTGTATGTCCAAAAAGTATAATAATGATATCGAATTTAACGCACGGAACTGTCGATGGATTCTTTGGTCATTATTAGAAAATTCTTTCAGAAAAATAATAAACACTTTATTCTAAACAATATTAATTATGCAGAATGGAATTTTCAGTGTTGTTCACTTTTCAACAACTTGTCTCCTTTTTCAAATAAATAAATACATAAAATAATAAAACCACAAAAACTGAAAGTTAAGAGAAGGATAAAAAATGCAATAATAGTGCCGGTTATAAATCGCTGTTTATCTAGAGACTAAAAAGTACATTTATAAGTTCTTTTCTAACATTTTCCCTTTCATACAAAACCTGTACCACATGTGGTATCGTAGAAGTCTTATATTTCGTCGTTCAAGGATAAATTCTTAAGAAATTTCTTCTGACTTTACCCGAAGCGGTACAGGAAGGAAGCTAGAAAGGATGTAAAGGATGTTTAGTATCAGAAAAGATTACCTGAGTCAGTTGCCTGCAAGAATTAAAATGCATGTCAACAGAAATGTCGGTTATCTGAGTCGAAGGCATACCTTCAACCCTTCTTCCTTACATCCTTCAAAGTCCTATGAAGTATTGTGGGGGTGTGATAGAGACAATGGGTTCCAACGGAATGTTATTCTCACAGTAAGAATCATCGAGTTTTTTGGTGTTGACGTCTGAGTAATATTCTTGCAGTTCAATACTGCATTAGCAACAGACAACTATATGTATTTGAACATTATATTTCATGTCGTTTAATGAAAACGGAAATCACACTCTCAGTAATTGCTTAAAGAATATAAACTCTGTAGATATAAACAGTCGTCTGATGACTTGAAAATATAACGACTTCCGTGTCTTGCCTTCTGCTGTTACACAGAACGTTTCGAGAAGCCCAGGGAAGAATAAGAAGGAACAGTAAAGAGGAATCGACCGAAAATACGAATTAATAAGTTGTAAGATAAGTGGTTGAGTCATACGACGTCTCCGATTCCTAATGTAATAAGTGAAAGTTAAGATATTTTTAGAATTCAACAAAGTATGAGACGATCAGCAAAATTTGAAGGGAAACCGTTACCAAGATAGGTAATATTCGATTCACTTCCTAACACATAGTTCACAAAGTTTGTATTATGAAATTTAAGTGCATTACTTTCTGTTAAACAGTTGATTAACCCAGTGATTTAAACAAGGTCCATTCATCATGAAATTTCAGGCTAACAAAGTAAATGAATACATTCTCTGCTTCGCATATTATTCGTAAACTCTAGTCTAGTCAGAGAGTAGACTCACATTTACGTTAAAAATCAGTAATAACTTATCACTCTTATTTTCACTTACGTAGTGCAGGTAATTCATAGCCAATCTCCATTTGTATTTTTGATCCAAATTGTTTACCTGAGTTTGAAGTTTCACCTGAACCACTTGAGAAATTTATTGATAAAATATGATCGTATGGCAGGAAACAGTCACTTCTGTAAAGTATCAGTAACAAAAACATGTCGAAATTAAAAGAATGGATGAACAGGGTTTCTATAGGCAATATTTATACCTCTTTTAATGGTTAATCTCGTTACTACATGTTTAACTTACCAATATACGAAATTCGATCACTTATCTCATTTGACAGACCACACTACCTCAAAGTTACTGCTTTCAAATCTACTGTGACAGAGGTTTTTCGAGTTTAACTAGATATTGATATCAGTTAGAGAACCAGGGATTACTAAACAGCTGTTTTATCCTAGTTTAGGAATCAGTGGCAGTTCGCACCCACTGGGGTTTGAACACAGGATCTTCCGGTTACAAGGCAAGCTGGTATACCATTCAGCCACTGGGACCCGATTCAATGGCTAGTGCATGAATTCTAACTTCTACCGATCCGTGTTCAAACTTGAAAAGAAATCTAATCCTTACAAACAGACTCTTAAAAACTAATTTTATACCCGCTAGTAACTTGCTACAGGACGGAGTTTCCTGGAGTTCTAGTGAGAAGTTGTGACCAATGAGATCCATCCAGTCAAGCGTGAGGATGGATATCCCACCGATGACATTGGTTGGTGGTCGCGCTAAATCCCGAATTGGTAGAAGTTAGAACTCATGGGTTGGTCATTTAGTCAGATCTCAGTGGCTGAATGGTATACGAGTTTGTCTTGTATCCGGAAGATCCTGGGTTCGAATCCCAGTGATTGCGTACTTCCGATGATTCTCAAATTAAGATGAAATAGCTTTCCTGTACTTCTCCATTTTCAATAGTTCTCTAACTGATACTTATCCGTGTTCCAAGTCGGAAAACATATCTAATCCTTACAAATCAACTCTTGTAAACACAGGTTTTCATTTTGTTCCTATCGTCTATTTGTTTATCTGATGAGATCATTATGAAAGTAGACGAAAATCTAAACTTAGTTTATGAGTAACTTATTTTTCGTAAAAATGCTTAACAACCTACGAACAATCACTAAATACTTGCCTAGGTATCCAGGGTATCTCCATTATCACTATCACTTTCAATGCAACCATGTATCAGTTATTCAGTGTTAAGTAAAACAAATATGTAATTCATGTTAATTCAAGTGTTTAAACCAAACTCAATCTTTTGTTTTTCTGAATAACTAATCGAACATTCAAAAACTGAGTGTTATCTTATCAATGAATTCATCTAAAGCGTTAAGTTCACACTTTACATTTAGACATTAAAAATTTCTGTTGATCTCTGGCTATTCATTCATAAAGTAAGAAGAGGACTAGTGTTTTCACATCTTTTTACATTTCTCTCTTTTCATTCAATGAGAGGATATCTCTCCTTCTCACATTTAGTAAAACTTAAACAATGGACATTTATTTCTACTTCAGTGAATCTGTGACACAGGATAAAGTGGTATTTTAAAAAAAATAATGTATTTTGGTCAAGTGGAAGTGAACAGAGATTTCGATAACTATTAAGAATTGTTTGTATCTGTGTATGTATGTAGGGATGGATGGATAGATGGAAGGATTTCGCTTTGCTTTCGGCAACCAAAATACCCCTGAGTTAATGACTAATCGATACCAGTCAATAAAAACAAATCATAAAAATAATGAATAATAACCGGTCGTTTTTTCTTTTTCTTTTCATCAGTATTCACTTAAAAAGTGTTGTTTACAGGCTAAGAATATGAAACCTTTCAGAAAAACTCATTTTTGACAGTACTATTTCTTAATACATAAACAGCATAGAACTACTGGATTGCGAAAAAATTTTCGGCGAATTCTAGGAAAGTAGAAATCTAAAGGAGACAATTAGAATAGGATGAATTTCGCCATACGTTTTAACAAGTTTCATAAAATAGAATGTGTTGAATTCAACCTATGAAAGTAAAGGTTATAAAGGACAGTAACACTAAATGTAAACGAGGAGGCCAATAAATGTCATGAACTTTCAGCTGTTACTTTCTGTGTTAATGTAGTGTGTAGTGAAACCTCAGGAGTTATTTTGAGGGGGTTGCTAGTATTGATCAGCTGCCTATCTGTAAGTCAAAATGTGTTCCAGAATGATACTTTCTGTATTCCTTTCCCATTCTCATTAGCTAAGTTTAACAAGTTTCAAAACGCATTATGAAACTTGGGCTAAGTTTGTCTCATTTGCGTTAGCGTTTTTGCTTCCTGAAGTGATTATGGATGGTTTTATTCAGTAGTTAGTTGACGCCTTACTTCTCTACAGTTTTTCAGTAAAAATACCGAAGTCAACAATGTTTAGAATGACGGTATAAAAATTTATTTTTATTATTTTATTATTTTTATATATCTTGACTCCATACCGAATTTTTGGTACAAGTATGGAGTTTTCAGCATGTGATATTGGTAGCCCAAATTTTGCAGACAGACCACTGATATCGGGGGCGCGTCGGTACGGGATCAAAAGCCGGACCATATGCATCTTCGGAGAGAGTCTAAGCCGCTGTGCCACCGACGCACAACAACTTATGTAATCATATTACTGTGCCCGTGTACTTCATCCACTTCTTCTAGGAACTACTGGCAATCGATATCGTTAAACAAACTCACATGGACTAAGCTGATGATTGTTAGCATTTGAAAAAAACTATGGGAAGTTTACGCTCTGTAGAAAATTTTAACTTCCCAACGTGAATGCATTCAATAGTTTACATTCAACTGATTTATCAATGAAAATATAACATCACTCACCTGTCTGCAATACTTCCAGGACGTATATTCAAAATAACTGGTGCTTCACCTTGGCTAGATCCATCTGAAACAGTTAAACCTAAATTCGATTTTTCATCTTTCATTATTTCAATAGTAACACGTCCAAATAAACACATATCTAAAATATTCAAAAGAAAAAGAAAAAATTAGAATAGTGAACAAACAGTAGAAAATAGGCTTGAGAAAATGTTTTTCGAAGGCGGATATTTTAAATTATTCTTTCTACAGATAACAACAGTATGCTATTTCTTTAAAACTCGTAAAATGTCAGTGTGTCAGACAGTAGTGATCAATATTCAGCCCAAGTGTAATCGTCTAGCTTGGAATTATTTACATCTGTAGATAACAGACAAGCTTGGAAAACAAAATAATAGTAATATATATTCAAAAATTTTTAAATGCTTCATGACAAGAAACAAAAAGAGATGAAAAATGTATAAGAAGATATGACAAGTGAGATAAAGTGAGAACAAGTTATAACTACGTCTGATCCATTTTATTTGAATATTTTACATATTACTTCTGAAAATTTTTGCTTAAGCCACACAGGATACGTACGCTTTTTGAGAGAACAGGGAACGATTATTAATGGCCTATGGAAATAATTCTGTTTCCATCCAGCCAACATTACATTTATTTCAAATTATTTTCGTAGAGGAATAACTGTTTGGAAAATTGTTCTTGACTGATCTAATCACAATATTTATACTAATCTGCAGGCTTCAACTAACTCTCCAGTTATTGTCCGTTTTCCCCCTCGACTCTATACCATTCCTCTCAAATGTGCATATCATCTCTTCACTTCATCCTTATCATTTCTCACCGTCCCTGTTTAATCTCCAGTTTTAATGCTTCTCATCGTGCTTGTGAGATACACTGATAGTGTGTTGTTTTACAATGTGTTTTCATTCGAGTGAATCGAGGTCATTCTGACCTCGGAGTGTCTCCGGGAAGTAAGGCTGTGTCATTCTTGTAGACAGAATTTCGATTCCATCTTGTTGGAAATATCCCACTTGATTGTAAGGTGCTTCCTACACTTGAATTTCCCTTAACTAATTTCTTGTTCAACGGTGCTTGTTTTTGACCTAGAAATTTACGTTATTTGTATAGCTGGCTAATGGCACTGTTGAGGTAATTTTGAGTTTTTGATGTTGTTATCATTATTGAATAGAACTATATAGATTTGGTGACGAATAATCGTCTTTTTGTTGTCTTTGGAGAGTTCTGCGACTGTGCGTGTCTTACTGAGGTTTTGGATATCTATACAGTAGGACTCGAAGATAGCTCCCCTGCGTTCAAACCACAACAAGTCGGTTCTAATCGTTAAAATTTCTATTTCAGTTGATTAAGTCACATTAAGCGAAATGTGTCATTAGGATACATGATTCCACTGTATGCATAATCCCGCTATTTATAATTTCTGAAATGGAGAAGAATTTCAGAATTTCTGTAAACAATCCGTAATGTTTACAGGCCTAAATATGTCATGCATACTTCTTTATTTGGATGTTTCTCCTTTGAAAAATGAATTCACACCATCACGCATACATACAACATAGCACTTAAAGCACTCCTTAAAAAAATTTTGTTTGCTGAAAGAAAGCACGTTGATAAACGTACAGTGATTAGATTTGCAACAAACTACGTTTTCATCAGGAAAGAGATGAACAGGCCTAACAACATTATTAGTTGAATCTATTGCTTCACGTGTGATTTATTGATTTTTTTAAATAGCGGCCTATTTAAATAACCCAACTACCTGATTTCCTATCCATCGAAATGTATCACATTCTTCAAATGTAATCAATCCCCATAGGCATTTTCTAATAGGCTTCAACCTACCGCTATGAATTTTTCTAGAATGAAATGGAGAAACGACACTACGGGGTATTGCAACATGTTTTGTATATAATATCGTATTAAATGGTATGCATTATATATTTTTTATTTAATAATTCTGCACAAGTAAATTCTGGACTGTAAATAAACGAGTTTATTTTCATCAGAATAAAGCTATTCTTATTATTACTAATGATAGGTAATTACCTTTGTTTGCATTAACAGAAACACATTCTTTTGGTATATGAGAAGAAGCGTTGGTGACAATATCTAAATCAACTTTGCCATCCAAAGCTTAAATGTGATAAATATTTAAACTAACAGAAACATTTTCAATCTTGTTTATTTAAAAATTTAAAAGGCAACCTTGAGCTCCATTAATAACAGCGTCAACTGTGAATACAATTTCAATATTATCTCTATTAAAAATTGATATTTTCGTTTTCTAATTTCCACAGTTTTAGTCTCTCGGTGGTTACTAGTTTGATAATTTGTTATGTCTACATAGGAAATGTCAAAACGAATACTACAAAAGTAGAATTTTGAGAATTGTTGTCAGATGTAAATATCTTCTTACTCAGCAAACCTTTTATACGCAAAACATAGTCGTTACAACATCCACTTCAAGTTTTATTAAAAATTTATGTCAATTAAACATGATAGAATAAAGGAGCTTTATGAATGTACAAATCTTCTACACTCAGCATAAGGAAGAAGAATAGCATTTTCAACACTAGTGTCAAGTCGGTCCTTCTATGCGGGTCTGAAACTTACACTGCGTGTCACGAAAAGCATTTTCAACTGGGAGCCACAGACTTTATCAACAAATACCTTCTCAGACTCCATGCTGAATATCAAGTGACTGGCTAGAAAGAATTTTTTTCCTTCACGTTCCCTATTGGATCATAGGGCTTCAAGCAAGTGGCTTAAAGTTTCTGTAGTAGTGTTTATTTTACAGGATGGGGTTGCTAGCCACATGCCCAACCTTTCCTCTTCACCAGCATTATTTCTGTCTCAGCGAGGTAAAGGAGTGCGTCGGCCGGGGATCGAACCCTGGACCATGTGCATGGTCGGTGAGCGTCCTAACCGCTATACCATGACGCAATAGAAAGAATTAGAAACAAGAAACTCTGCAGTGGAATAAACCAACCAAGAGCCGATCAGTCAACAAATATGTAGGAGAAAATGGAGAAGAAATGGGCATATGCCACTGAGGAGACCTTCGAGTGACATCACAAACCACGCTATTACTCGAGTGGAATCCAAATGAGAAAGGACGAGTGGGTTGTCACTGCAAGGGTGGCATGGAGGAGGTCGTTTGGGGAGGAAGAGATGAGAGAGTTTAGGCAATCCTGGACCCAGATGAAGAGGACGCCAGAAAATAGAAAAAAGTGAATATATGTTTTTAAAACTCTACGTTTCACCCGGAACCCAAAGGGAACAATAATCATGAATGCGAGTTGTAAAGTTATGTCAGTGACTTGCTAAAAATACACCTAACAGTTGATATCTTAGTTCTAAGAAGGAGATAAGGATATACGCCATCACAAATTAAACTTGCTGAGCCTTGGTTCCAGAATACTTATATAGACAGAACGGAGGCGGTCAACTATAACTTGAATTTCCTCAGGTAGTTGATTTTTGTATTATGGATCTAGAAAAATTCTGTAATCATGTCAGATTTTACTTATGGCTAATTTAAAGGTGTGCTATCAACATTTTTCCAAAGCTAAAATATCTGTTGTAACGTTTACTGTCCTATGCGTGAAAGCATCCCGCAACAGTCTTAATCCTTACTCCTAAAAAGGCTTATGTATGTTTCAGAAATTTGTCTGACAGTTAGAATAACAAATTTTACCTTACAAAAAACAATTGTAGTATTTCCCAAACTTTAATGGTTAAACATTATTTATATCAGTAAAATATATATTGTTGGCCATGTGTTTTTAGAAGAATAACAAGAGAAAGTGGACATGCATTTTTCTCAAAACTTTTGAAAAGTATTCAATATCATATGGTCTAAATGTCATATATCCTTTTCAAATTTCGCATGCAAATTTATTGATTTTTGAGTAAGTGAAATCATGTGATTCGGTGGAGAAAAATCAAAAATTACACTAAATGAAATAAATGCTGAAATTTCATTTAATTCAGGCCTGGAAGATATATGTTAGTGACTTGGTGGTATTTTAGAAAACTATTTCTTTGTGACGAACTATTCAAGTGCAGTGTTGATGTAAACGTTATAACACCGTAGCTTTGGTGACTGACTACCTTTAAACAAAGCAATTTCCAAAACGACTAAGTATGTATCTCGTACAAGCAGGATAACATTCTAATAGTGGCGTAAAATGTCATTTGATAAATTAGAAAACACAGTTATATTGACAGAGTTGTAATTCGGTGAATGGTGAATCCAGGATGCGTACTTCATCCTGTGTTGGACTCGGCATCTGGATGTACCTGCAATCCCCAGCGAATGACGGTGATCCCTTTCAGTCTCGACCCCACCACCACGCATCGCCTTAAATACCAAAGCGTTATCCACTGTGCTACTTTGACCACGATCCAAAAAGAAATCACTCAACAGGAAATAGAAATCTAATTTATACAACTTCATTGGATATACAGTGACAAAAAAACTATGTGCAGTTAATGAAACAACCGGCAATTACCACATCCCTAAAATAGGCTATTAAGACTTTTTTGAAGTGGTTCTCATAGCTCAGTCTCTTTCACACATTTCCACTAGTGATATTTCTTTAAAATGGTGGAGACTTAAAAATCAGCACGTTAAACGTGCTTTGTGACTCGCTTGTAAAGAGGTGATAAGAATATAAAACTATAATATTTGCTGTTCTGTTATTAGAAATCATCTTCACTCAGCCTGCATAAACAACGAAACTTGGATTTTCAACACCAATGTTAAATGAGTTCTTTTAATATGGGTCAGGTAAGTGGCCTGAGGGTTAGGAAAAGGCATTTACAACAACTTGATTCAGACTTCGCTCCATAATGAAGATGAGATGGACACCCAGAAAGAATAAGAAACATAAAACTCTGGGAACAATAATAATCAAGAAAACTATCGCTCAACAAATATGTAGAAGAAAATGGAGATGGATCCGATGCGCACTAAGTAGGCCGTTGAGTGAAAATGCGCACCATGCCACCGCTCGAGTGAAACCTAAATGGGAAACGACAAGCTGGGCGTCCGAAGGATGCATGGAGTAGATCGTACGAGGAGGGGATGAGAGCCTATAGGCAATTGTAGGGCCA